TAAACAATCTAAACCAAAGTTATTATATTTACAAATTATTTTTTTGTCGGCATTAAATAACCCAATGAGGTTGATATGCCGTAAAACTAAACCAAACCAATCTAAAACCAAAGAATACATATTCTATTCATACGAAGAACCTAAAATGTTGTCGGCATTAAATAACCCAATGAGGTTGATATTGTGGTAAACCAAAGAATACATATTCTATTTGTCTGCATGCTGGTATTCATTGGGAAGGTAAACCAAATCAATTTAAAAAAGAATACATATTCTATTCGTCAAACGTCTATTAAATAACCCATTGAGGATAAGGAAAATAAACAAAAAAAAAACCACATATCAGATATAATGCAAATGTCAAAATGGATAAAAGAACTCTGTCTGTTTAAAATTGTATTTTTCAATTCAGGCCCGACTGAGTATTGTGTATAAACTGTCCTAAGACCTATTTTGTTAAGCCCTTTGGAGTCATTATCAAGAACCGATGTGGTGATAGTTAGACTTCCTTTGTTTTGCTGGTATTTTGTCGTGCAATGGTCCACGTCACGTCTATATTAACAGATAAGGGAGACTCGAAATATAAGACGCATCAGACTAATGAATGTCAAATGGATATATATACGAAACGACGCCCACAGAGAAATCTTTGATACAGACATTTTATATGGATTACACACACACACACACACACACACACACACACACACACACACACACACACACACACACACACACACACACACACACACAAACAACGTCTAAAAAAAATTAATGAATTTATGTTTAATCCAACGTTTTTATTACTCTAAACGTTATTATAGTGGGCACTTCGTATTTGAAATAGGCGAAGGTCAGACATAATATACGCTGTCTATCTATATCTCTGAGATGAGGTATTATGATTATTTGCATCGGATTATTTACATTATTCGGACTGTTATCCTCATCTTCATTGCTTTATTCACAACCTTTCGGCCTCTATATCTCTGAGATGAGGTATTATGATTACTTCCATTATTTACACTATTCGAACTGTTATCCTCATTTTCATTGCCATATTCACAACCTTTCAGTCTCTATAACTTTGAGATGAGGTATTATGATTAATTGCATTATTCACATTATTCGGACTATTATCGTCATTTTCATTGCCATATTCACAACCTTTCGGCCTCTCTATCTCTGAGATAATGTATTATGATTACTTGCATTATTTACATTATTCGAACTGCTATCCTCATCTTCATTGCCATATTCACAATGTTTCTGCTGTTATACGCTCCGGCCTTTTTTTGATTGAAATTTCGAATCGAACCCTTTATTTTGTCCACTGGGGTAGATGTTTCTAGTTCCACATGCCGTGCCCCTTCTGGATGTCTCAGTTATTTCCGTTTAACACAACTCTCTAAGTTTTGGTTCACCAATGCTGTGGCCTGGTATTGAACTCACAACTCTTTGGGTCTAGTCACTGGATCTAGTCCACTGGGCCATGTATCCTTGGGGATCCAGTGACTCTCGAATTCAGTCACTTTCTCACCAGCGTGATGTGGCTTTCCTCTGTCTTTTCTACAAATATTTTCATGGCAATTGGTCTGACAAGCTTTTTTTTTACTCTGGTTACCCGACTACGTGAATTCAGATGTGCTACTAGATTGGAATTTAGGTCTCACCTTTTTAGTATTGGAACAGCTAAATGCAACCGCCTCTTCTACTCCAACAGTTTCTTTTCTTGCACTTCCCGCATGCGGGATTCCCTTCTGTTTCCTTGCTTCCCTGATAAGTACAATCTACAAAAATTTAAATGCAACGTCAATCGCCATCTTCTGTCTTCTTGAATCCAGTTCATCTTTTGTCCTTTCCTCAATCTTCCGTATACTCAGTCTTTTTTTTTTTTTTACTTTCACTCTCTGTAAATCACTGCGTACTAGTTGCGTTCCCGCCTTACTTGAAGGGAAATCATTAAAATAAAAATAAAAAAAGAACTGCCATTTTGGACGTAAAATGGGACTTTCATAGCGCATACATATAGTAGCTTTATGAGAACATTAAGTTTGAGAGGTGGGGTGGGAACTGAAGGGGATTTTCATTATTTATCTATTCACACTTTACATTTGGATACGCCATGAGCAGATATGAATGTACGTGAGAGAATCATGGAAGATTGTAGTTTAAAGTCCGACAATTATTTTAAGACATTTTTATGTTTATACATTCTTTTTTATAGATACAAATATTTAAGTAAATGCTCTGATTTATAATAAACAGTATTTATAACATTTACCGGCTTGAATGTCCGAGAAATTTTCATAGAAAATATTCGTCCTCCAACAGGAATCGAACCTGTATCCTATACGGAACCGTCATATAGTCTGACGTGTCTGGCGTACATTCATATCTGCTCAAAGCGTATCCAAATGTAAACAAATGACGTCACAGATTATGAAATGGGCAAAGTCCGACAATTATTTTAAGACCGTTCCGTATACGCTTTGAGCAGATATGAATGTACATGAGAGATTCATGGAAGATTACAGTTTAAAAGCAGTAAAATCGACCTTGCTAACCGAACGTTCCTCTGTGGCCCAATCGGTTAAAGCACGTCAGGCTATATGACGTTTCCGTATAGGATACAGGTTCGATTCCTGTCGAAGGACGAATATATTCTATGAAAATTTCTCTCACACACAAGGCCGGTAAATGTTATTGATACTATTTATTATATAACAGAGCATTTACTTAAATATTTGTATCTATAAAAAGGATGTATAAACATAAAAATGCCTTAAAATAATTGTTGTCCATTTCACAATATGCATATATATATATATATATATATATATATATATATGATAGACTCTCCCGTAGTCTTCGACTCATGAGTGTTCAGCAGCTCAGTTCTTAGAACCGAACAGCCAAACTACTCTCACATATTATTTGATCACAATGAAGAGAGCGTGTGCTGACCCCACACTTTTTTTGGAAGAACGGAATAGAAAGTACTGATGCACATGGTGTGCCACAAGTCCTCTAAACGCCTCTTCCCAGGTATTGAATTCAGAGTTGTCCTTCTCCTAGACTGCGTAACAAAAAATAAAGATCCCAGTCTGCTATGTTATTTAACCCATAGCTAGGAGGAGACATATTCACAGCTTTCCCAAGGGTATTTGCGCATAAACAAATTTTATGAACTCGAACTCTGATTTCTAAATCTATCCATTGCCCCATACGTGTCTATATAGTGATTTTCCAAGCGTAGCTTAGATGTGGCACAAGGCCAACAGCAGCGGGCACCCAGTGAGGATCGAACTCGCTACTCAATCATAATTGTTCTAGCGAGACAAGCTTGCTAACCATTACACCGCCTCGAGGTGAGCCATACGTATCTATATAGTGATTTTCTAAGCGCAGCTTAGATGTGGCACAAGGTCAACAGTAGTGGGGGCACCAAGCGAGGATCGAACTCACTACTCATTCTTAATTGTTTTAACAAGACAGGCTTGTTACCCATTACACCACCACGAGGTGCCCAATAAGTGTCTACATATGCGCTGATTAATGTATAGATATGTCCCTGTACACACGTACACGCACATACTCACGCGCGCACACATACACGCAAACATGCACACATATAAAGGCGCACAAGTACACACACATAGACACGCACATACACACACTTACACGTACACATATACACATGCATCTACAATGGTCTAGAAGTCGGGAAGAAAAGACATGAATATGCCAATAGAGAGCAAAATAGACTTTTAAGAGTAAACAAAATATTTGACAATCGTGGATGACATCTTTCTGTTGAAGAGGCGATTTCTTTTCAATCGTTCTTTCTGAGCATGCGCGCATATAATAATAATAATAAAAGTAGTTTGGAAACAGTATTATTTGAAAAACGCCTTCGATGTTTGCAACTGGGGCAGTAATATAGTACGGAGTTCTCAGGTTTTCAGAATATGAAAGGCTAAAGAAAAAAAAATGGAAAAAAATGGGTGGGTAAGTCTCTTTAGAAAACGTGATAACGATATGTTATGATATTATGCTTTCGTGTTTGGATTGGGGTATTGTGATTCAAGACAGCCGGTTATTGAAAAAAAAAAAAGTGGTTGGGCCATCAGGTCCGAAATATCAACTCCCGATGAACATGACACTGAAGAGGGTCAGGATTGTGTAGAGAGAGTCCTCCCGTCTGTTTGCTCTGGAACTCTGTTTACTATGTGAGGGGGAGTGTGTGTGTGGGGGGGAGGGAAAGAGAAGTCATCTTTTCTTTACTGACGGATATTGTTCGATTTGAAGACTAAAGAAGGAAAGAGAGCAAAGAAAGAAAAAAGGCGACTGAAGAAAGGAAAAGGTAAAATGGATAAAAGAAGAAGGGGAAAGAAAAAGAAAAGTGTGGCCAGAGGAGAAGAAAAGAACAAGAAAAGAAAAGGATAATAAGAAGTGACAAGAAAGAAAGAAAGAAAGAAAGAAAGAAAGAAAGAAAGAAAGAAAGAAACAATTATGAGAAGTTGAGGAAGTGAATGAAAGATAGTGAAGAATAAAGGAAATGTAAGATAGAGTTAATTAACTGACAGTTTTAAATATGTGAGAAAAGAAATGAATGACGGAAAGAAAGAAAGAAAGAAAGAAAGAAAAAGAAAAAAATGAAATGAATGACAGAAAAAAAAAGGAAACAAAGGAGATGAATTATAGAAAGAAAGAAAGGAAGAAAGGAAATGAATGACGCAAAGAAAGAAAGAAGGAAAGGAAATGAATGTAAGAAATAAATAAATAAATAAATAAATAAATAAAGAAAGAAAGAAAGAAAGAAAGAAAGAAGGAAGGAAACAAAGGAAATGAATTATAGAAAGAAAGAAAGAAAGGAAATGAATGAGAGAAAGAAAGAAAGAAGGAAACAAAGGAAATGAATTATAGAAAGAAAGAAACAAGAAAGAAAGGAAGGAAATGAATGACGGAAAGAATAAAAGAAGGAAAAGAAATGAATGTCAGAAAGAAAGAAAGAAAGAAAGAAGGAAAGAAAGGAAATGAATTATAGAAAGAAAGAAAGAAAAAAGAAAGAAAGGAAGGAAATGAATGACAGAAAGAAACAAAGAAAGAAAGAAAAAAAGAAAGAAAGAATGGAAGGAAATGAATGACAGAAAGAAAGAAAGAAGGAAACAAAGGAAATGAATGACAGAAAAAAGAAAGACAAGAAGAAAGAAAGGAAATGAAAGAAAGAAAAAAGAAAAAGATAGAAAAAGGAAATCAAAGAAACAAAGATAGAAATAAAGTAAAACGGACGAATATAATAAAAAAAGAAAAGAAAAATTGAAAGACAAACAAAAAAGAGACGAAAAACTGATAACATTTTAAACGTATGAATGAATTTCGTTCAGTAATCTTATAGTTTAAGTGTTCATAAGCCTTATATTGGGTGAATAATAGTATATAAAACGAGAAACACATCGTCTTCAGGTAAGTAAACTAGTATGGGAGTTCTTGAAGCATTATTAATAAATAATTGCATACTAAGCCGAATTATTGCAAAAAAAAGAAAAAGAAGCTCGGTAAACAGGAACGATAATAAGAATTGTAAAAAAGAAAAAAAAGCCACAATAGAGTAATAAAATAAAATATATAAAGTCCAAAATAGAATGGTGGGTTGTAGATTTATTATTTTCCAACCTCTACCCCTTCTTCACAGACCTAAAGTCTCAAACCTTTCGCTACGCTATCGCTATTTCCGTGGAATATCTTATAACGAGCTTCATTCCCTACTTTCCCTAGTTCAGACCTTTACAACAATCTTCACGTTGCTGTGCGTGTCTGAGTGGTTAGAACGTTTGTTTTCTGACAATAAGACCCGCGTTCGAATCTCACCATTTCTGATTTGTCAGGAATATGACATCGGCCTGGCGAAGAGATCCCAGGGTAGAATAGAAGGTTACTGTATTCTGTTGCGTTGTGTGGGCATAACAGAAAAGAAGAAGTAAAGTTCGTGGTGTTATGCAGGAAAGATAACCTTTAATCCTAAATATAAAAAGGTCAAGATTGGGAAAACATCGTGTCGGGAGTCTGTCCCACAAAACAAAGGCTCTTTGAAAAAAAAAAAACAAAAAAACTGTACGAGTGGAATTTATTACTATTGGAATATGAAGGGTGTTATGGGACCTTACCCATAATAACATAATGGACTGTTCCATACATAATAAATGCTGCGCCTCAAGAGGAAGCAGGGAGTTCAGTCCGAAGTCGGGCGACCGGCTGATCGGCTGATCGGTTGAACTCTCCACCTTCGGACGGGGTGGAACCCGAATGAGGCTACGCCGAAGGGCGGAGTCTCTTTCGGAGAGGTAAACCGACCCTGAACCCGTTTATACGGGTTCAAAGGGCATATTTTTGGCCGAGCCCACGGGCTCGGAGATCCCACGTTAAAGCGGCCTTGTGCTACATGATGCCCTCGTGTGGGGAGGGGCGGGGGTGACTAAATACTGTTCAGTCTGAAGTCTGGAGTGAAGTCCGTCAGAAGTCCGTCAGTTAGTCAGCGCGAGTTAGTCAGTCAGTCGAGTCAGAGGCAGTCCGAAACAGAGTGTCGTTCAGACAATTACTACAAGACATTGGAATAGTGATACTGGTCGAGACTACATTGTTCTCTCTACTAAACCTGATTGTTCGTACTAACACTTTCTACGTCTCTGTATATATTCCTGTTTGTAATATATCTGTGTTATTCCATATCCGTATTCCAGTTCTTCTTTATTGGTTCTACCTTGGACCATCACTGTGGTAGAAGGACCTGGACCATAACAAAGGGGATGACGATAATTCACACTTGCGCAAGTGGCATGTTCCAATTGTAAAGATCAGTGGCGGTAGGACTAAGTAGTGAAGCTCGTTAGAACACATGCCATGGAAATAGCGATAAAGCAGCGAGAAGCTCACAACGTTTCATCACGGAGAAAATTTATTAATTATCCACAAGGCTACGTAGACGGTTTGGAACTCTTTCCAAGACAAGCAAGTGAGGACTTTGCAGCTCCAGCCAACATATGGCAGCAATAATCTTTTTTAGGTCTGTTCTAACTCTAATAGAGTATAGCAGGGAGAGTCAGATACTTAATGGATCGGTACAATGAGCCGAGCATTTTCCCAGTATCTTTAGATCGGATATACGAGTTCTAATTGAGGTCTGGATAGAGCTTGAGTCCCAAAAGACGTTCAAGGCAAAGAGCCTCGTTTAGAAAAGACCTATCCATCATGACAGGTAAAAGTTTAGGCTCCGTTTGGTTGGAGGTTGAGCGTCACTACTTTGCTTTTGAATTTTACAAACCATCCTTCCGCCATTGAGTCACCTAGGCTATGTCAGCGGAGCAAGGAACTGCAAGGTTAGGGGTCTTCCAGAGTTTTGGAGGTGCCCAAATAGAATCATCTACCTAGAAAGTGGCAGATCTACATTTTTCGGGCCCCTGAAGCTCATTGATTCCATAGAGATGGCGGGCCAGTCACTGCCAACCCCCAAGAAAATATTTCAATTTGACAAGTTACAAGGGAATTTTGTGGCCATATAAAATGAGTATGAGAGCATATTCTAAGGTCAACATTAGCTACATCATCCCATTGGCTTATGATTCTATCATTAAAATGGCTTTACTGTAATAACACATTAAAAGGAATCTGTTGATTTTGTTGAAAGATTCACTCAATCATTAAGGCCAACATTAGCTACTTCAACACATTAGCTTAAAATTCTATCACTAAAATGGCCTTATTTTAATAACACTTTATAAGAGAATCCATTGATTTTGCTGAAAAATTCACTATCAAGACTAAATATTAGCTACATCAAGTCAATGGCTAATGATTCTATTACTAAAATGATCTTATTTTAATAGGAATTTACAAAGAATCTATTGATTTTGTTGAAAGATTTTCTCACTCATTAGGGCCAACATTATCTACATCAACTCATTGGCTTATGATTCTATCAGTAAAATAACCTTATTTTAATAACACTTTATAAAAGAATCCAATGATTTTGTCGAAAAATTCATTCATTAAAGCCAACTTTAGCTACTTGGATTGTAATTCTATCAGTAAAATTACATTATTCTAATAAGAAATATTTAAAAAAAAATGATTTTTTTTTTGCTAAATTTATTCATTAAAACCAATATTAGCTACATCAACTCATTGGCATTTTGTTGGAAAATTTACTCATTAAGACCAACACAAGCTATGTAAACCCATTAGCTTATGATTTTATCACTAAAATGGCCTTATTTCTATAACACTTTAAGCAAAAAGAAAACATCGATTTTGTTGGAAAATTCACTCGTTATGGCCAACACTAGTTACATCAACTCATTGGCATATGATTCTATCACTAAAATGACAGCATTTTAAATAGAAATACTTAAAAAAACATCGATTCTATTGAAAAAAAATCACTTATTAACCCTAAAACACTAACCATGGGTATATAGTACCCAGCGCAAATTTTCCTATTTTTAATTACAATTTTCAGTACCTGATTTTCTTACCTAAATAATGTTTTTCAGTTCCTATTAATGTTAACACAAAGTACAAAGTTTGAAGTGCCTGCATGTAAAATATTTCAAATAAAGATTTATATTTAATATTTTTTTTTATATTTTCAAAATCGGGTATGATATACCCATGGTTAGTAATGGTGTAACTTTAATTGATGGTTAGTGTTCTAGGGTTAAAGTAAGTTGCTTCAGGAGCCCCTCTGGAATTAGGGCTCCGAAGTTTAAGCTTCGTTAGTTTCGTAGATCCGCTACTGTGTATAGAGATAGTCACTAAGGATGCAACGAGTTAAGTGAAGGTAATTTTTACGCAGTGTTGTTTTAGAAATCCTACCTATGATATCATGAATTGAATAAACAGCGCTCAAAATAAACGAAACTAATTGAAATCAACTTTCGTCAAGTGCTACACGACTGACATTACAAGCAGGTACCTAGCCAACATTCGACCCATCCATGTGACTGACATCACATTTAGCCAATTGTGGATAGCTGTTTAATAAAGGTGGAAAGAAAAATACTTCAACTTGCAACTTTACCGACCCACCCGTTTCACTTTTTTTTTTGGTCACCCTTTCTCCACCCTACGACAATTCTTCTTAACCCCTCCTTTTCCATCGTTTTTTTTTCTTTCCTTCGACATTACATATTCTTTCTTCTGTGCGATCTTTGCAAGTATTTCAAGGAATTGGTGAACTGTCAGGAAGTGACTTCGTAGAGCGAAAGGCGGCGGGTGGGGATCCCTTTGCTTAACCCCGTTCTCAGCTAAGCTTACGTATTGTGACATCTTAACTGTCGCCAACACAATGACGAATGGCGTCATATCGGGTGGTCTTGGCTGATGTTGCGGACAGAGACGTGAGGAGACATCTGCCCCACCATCTTATATCTAAAAAAAAACCTCAACGCCTGGATACAAGTTTAGTCAGTTTTGCTGAGTGGAGCAGGTTAATGTGATGGGAGCAGAGGTCGACAAATATGCAATATAACAGGTAAATAGAGAGACAGACAAGCAAGTAGACAGACAGACAGACAGATAGATAGATAGATAGATAGATAGATAGATATGATACGACCCAGATAGATAGATAGATAGATAATGAAAAGTCTGAGACATACAAAAGTAGACTTACAGTATGTTCGCCGAGTTCCACCCCTAATTATTTTCTGGGGATGTAGTAAAGGATATATATATATATATATATATATATATATATATATATATATATATATATATATATATATATGTGTGTGTGTGTGTGTGTGTATATATATATATATATTATTTTATATTCACAGTACTTACCTATTTTTAACATATTAATAATAATTAATATCACAGTTATTATTATCAGGATAATCACAATCGTCAATAATACACAAGCAGAGAGCGTTGAAAATACAAGCATCATCATCACCATGTCCACAAACAGAACCAAAAACCAAAATGATAGTGAAAGACCTAGACCAATAGGAGTGTATTTGCACGTCTACGTGTGTGTATGTGTGTGTGAGGAAGTCTAAGTTTCTCTGACAGCGCAGTGGGGTAGACCTGAAAATCGTCAAGAACACCCTTACCCGCTCCTTCTTGGACGGAACATCGCTACATATAATAAAAGTTACGGTCCCAACACCGCAATAAAATTACAACTGCGTATGTATGTATGCATGCCCGAACGCATGGATGTGTATATGCGCCTAGCCTCGAATTGTTTATATGGATGTGTTTGTGTGAACTAAAATACATACACCTGTGTGTATGTGTGTCTATGTGAATGAGAGTGTCATCCCAAACAAACACAGAAGCAAATTCCCCCTCCCACCACCAAACATAAACAAGCATAAATAGATCCAATTTAAAAAAAATAAATCAGTCCGTCTGACGATCGCAAAAACGTGAAACCCAGGGTCACAAACTCATGCTCCCGAAAAAAATTATTTCGGTTGAGCTCTCGGGAAGAAAAGTGAATTTGTAAACAGTGGTTATTACTGCTGGTGATGCAAGATTCTTCGTTAAGACGAATCAAGTTCTCCCAGTTACTAGCGTGTTTTTTTTTAAATAAATACGCTCAAAATCACCTTTATCTATCTATCTATCTATCTATCTATCTATCTATCTATCTTGTTACAGTATACTTACTTTTGCATCTCCTGTATATCAGTAGTTAGCTAACAGCAAAGATATGAGTAGAATAAAATAGATATCAGCAAATATATACCGGGTGTAACAGCAAAATTGTCCAAATCGTGTAACAGCATAATTTTTCATCCAACACAATGTTTAATATCGAAAAAAATAAACACTAAAATAAGTTTCTTTTTATCATCTTTTCAGATAAGGCGTTTAGCCATATTGTTACCATTTGTCGTAAGAATCACTCAAAAACCCTTTGAGTTATTCATCTAGAAAGAGAACAGTTTAAAATCGATTAGCTTCAGTCTAACTATATCTTCTCAAATGAGCAATGGTGAGAGGAAAATGATCATTCAGTCCTTCAGTAATGGTACCAATATTCATACTCTGGCTTCCATCTTCAAAGTCCATTCAAGAACCATGAAGAGAATGGTGAATGAGTTTAAAAAAGAAGGAACAGTAGAGAGAGAAACTGGATCAAGAGGTCACGACAGGAAGAAGGATCATCATTTCAACTTAGAGCTAAAGAGATCTATTAGAAAAGATCCAACTCAATCCATACGACGTCTGGCATGTGAGAGAGGAGTTTCACCTATGACAGTCCAAAGAACAGTGAAAATGTACTCATACGTAAAACTTGTGAGGCACTTTGTTACTTCACGACAGAAAGTTAAAACGGCTCAAAGCTTAATCTAACAATTGGACAATTTTGTTATATATATATATATATATATATATATATATATATATATATATAATTAAATTATATTGCTTTGTATAAATGAAATATAATACATGGAACTCTTTTTTGTGAATCAGTTCAAATATTTTCATATTACTAGGATCCACTTGGATTATATACCAACGGATTTTTTTATCTTACTATATATATATGTGTGTGTGAGTTTTTGTCGTCGTTATTGCAGGTGTTAAAGCTGCCATACTATTATCTCCTATGCCTGTTTGTTAGGTTCATTAGCTAATTTAGTGTTGCAAACGCTTGCTCAGGGACATTAATGTCTCTTTCAACGCTTTGCAGACCTTAGTTCCAGTTTCTGGAAACGAATGCAATATTTGACGTGATCACCAGTTTGAACAACGCCAGTACTCTCAACCCTTCGATTTGTTGGCTTGCTACTTTATCTTAGCACAACAATTGACGGCTTCTGAACAGTTTCGTCTAACTAATTTCACTCACACGTATTGAGTCAACCCTTTGGGTGCGGTTTTCAGGCACTTTTCAACGGTGTCGCACTCTGGGGGTCCTCTCTCCAAGCCGATATTATTCAGAAAACTATTCCCTGACAAACCATGGAGAGATTTGAACGCTTTCGGGCTAATCTACATCTTCATGGGCTGAGATTTGGTTAATTGATTTGTTTTTACGACTAACCTTTTGTAGGTTATTTAAATTCGAAACATAGTTTTGCATTGTTCTATTCTGTTTTTAGTATAACAACGATTTCTTTCAGATACTCGTCCTACTATTTAACCCATAGCTGGGGACAGAAGATGTGGATATCATACCTTTACCAACGTTATTTGCACGTATGCGAATGAAAGAATCTCGATTGGAAACCATAAAGAAAACCCGTGGTTTATCTATGTTGAGAGGACTTACATCGAGCTTTTTTTTTTGTGAATCAGTTCTAATATTTTCATATTACAAGCATCTACTTGGATCATATACAAACGGATTTTTTTTTACCTTACTCTCTCTCTCTCTCTCTCTCTCTCTCTCTCTCTCTATATATATATATATATATATAATTATTTATTATTTAAAAATATGATTCCAACAAGCTACATAAGAGTTCTCGTGTTTCAAAACAAGAGCCGAAAACTTCAATATAATTATTTGAATTAAATTGAATTAAAGTACTAAGCTCTGTTCCATTTTCAAGCGAAATTTTAAAAAAAAGACTTTTCTCTAGGCAGATTTGCGTTAAAGATCAAAGTGAATTAGGGTCTCTAGCCTTGAGTGGCAGCCAGTCTAAGAGAAAGAAAACTCTGAATTCAAATCGTGGAGACAGAAACAGGAAACCATTCCATTCTGTTTCTCCGGCGATTCACAGATAATAAGGAAAAAGAAGATGTGGGGAGCAATGATCGCCTATATCCTGAAGAGACATGGCATAGAGAGAAATAAAAACAATTGTTAGACATAAGGTCTTCCCGCCTTGCTTGGGGTGAAACGCTTAAAAAACAAAAACAAAAAAAACTTAGTCTATAGCTGAGAAGAGAAGAACTGGATTCATAAATTTCACAAGAGTATTTGTGCGAAAGTGAATGTGATGATTTCGACCAGATTCGAACTGGCTCTATCCAGTAATTATTTACCGTATTTGCCTTCGTATAAGGCGCATTTTTTTTTAAATGTACAAAAACTTCCCTATGACTAAAACAGCTGTATTACGGATGGAAAACGGCCGAGTGCTTTACCGATAGACTAGGGCGTCAGAGTCCGCTGGGCATAAACATTGTTTCTAGTACTTTTCTTTAAATTTATTTATGGCTTACTCTGTATGGTAGACTGTACTGTTTGCTGAAATACCAGTTTATGTGAGAATGCATTCAGTTTGGTGCCTGTTGCTTGTTGTATAGTGTTGGTAATATTCAGTTAAACATTTTGCTTTGTTTGCATCTACTGTAATTATTCTTAAGAATTCATTCACATTTAGTCTACTTTGCTGATTCATTTGTCTGCAATTACTGTGATTATCTACAAGAATGCATTGACATTCATTGCACTTTATGGGTGGTTTGTCTGAACCTACTGTAATCATTTTTAAGAATTAATTCACATTTATTGTATTTAACTGACTGCTTTGTCTATATCTTGTTTAATTATCTATCTCATTATTATCTTCTTCATTTATTGTACTTTACTGTTTGCTTTGCTTTCTTTATATGTAGCAGTCTTCATTGTTACAGACAGGAAGTGCAGGAGAAGAAGCTGTTGGAGTAGAAGAGACGGTTACATTTAACCGTTTTGACAGTGAAAGGGTGGGACGGAGATGCCAGCCTAGTAGCTCGTTTAAATTCATGCTCTCTGGGAACTAGGGAAAGTTGCTCGTTGGAAGAGTTGCCGTGAAAATACTTGTAGAAGAGACAGAGGGAAGCCATGGTATGTCTGTGAGAAAGCGACTGTAGACTTGATGCTAGATCAGAACCTATCATATTGCATATTCGTCTCTGGATTTTGTCGAGGACCTCGCGACATACAGTGGGGGCACCAGACCATATATGACAGCAATATTCCATGCAAGGACGGTGGTTGATTTATAAATTTGTCGAATGGACTCAGACGAGAAAAACTTTCTGACACGACATAGAATACCAACTTTCTTTGCGATAGATGAAGCTATTGATTCATCCAGTCAGTCGTTTTTCATTCTACTTTACAAAAAGCAGTCAGTTTATTTTTTTGCCGAAACATTAATATAAGAAATACATTTGCCAGTGTATACGACATTTCACTCTAAAATTAAAAAAAAAGTTTGTCATCAGGGTTGTTCGATTTAAATCCAACTGATTTGAATCAATTTTTTTTGTTTTTGCTTTTTTTTTTAAAATCACTAATTTACCATATATTTCCATGTAGATGACATTTAAATTTATTTTATTTTTCTTTGTAATTGAAACTTACAATATATCATCTTATACTTTATTCCAGTATACTGTTACAATATTGCATTTCTATGTCCAAAATGATACATTCCCCTATAAACACCTTTTAAAATATATTTCAATAAATACCTTATCAATCACACTAACATTTTTTCCACAAAATATCCTTGTAAAATAGGGAGCCTCTTATTTGAGGGTGTGTGCAATACGAAGACAAATACGGTAACTGAATGAAAAAATTATTTAGCGAATAGGAAAATGTAACCTAGAGAAGGTTACTGAATAGAATAATCACACAAAGGTTGATAATGAACGATAATACTTAGGACAAGAACAACGCATATAAGATTCGC